CACATGTAAATTGATTGATGCAGTGTTTTCTCCTTTGCCAATCAGTTATTAAGTGGATGGCCCATCTCAAACAGATGGCCATGTGCAAACATGGTATAACTTATTTTATAACAAGACTCAAAAACCCTCAGCATGTCAACGACCTGGAGAATGTGGTAGGAAAAAGGGAGAGTGGGAGTCCATAGATCATGCCTGCAGCTACTACAAATTGAGGAATAATAGATCATTGTTCTGGCAGATGTTGGGGGCCCAGTATGAGGCATGGGGAAGGAGGCCTGCTTGTTTGAAGGGATTTGGGGATGGCCTGACTCCTGCATTCATTTCATGAGCACACCCTGAGCAGGCTTCCTGAGCTAAGTCCTCACTGCCCATAGGCCTAGGGTTGTAAGTAGGCCAGGGCAGGGGAGCGTGCTGTACATTGAGCCAGAGAAAACAATCATTTTAGGAGGCCACAGGATCCCAGGCTAGACCGGAGACTGAGACAAAGCAATCTACTTGTATTAGAAGTGTATGGAACAACCTCACTGAGATGTTGCATCACATTGCCTGGTTCTGTATGCTGTGTTTACACACAGAATCTAGCATGGCCTCTGTTGAGTCCTGTTCTGGTCCAGGGGTCAGTCTGGGAAAAACATTTTTGCAATGAGCTCTCAGAGCCCAGACTAGAGGCCTACCTGAAGGGAAGGTGTTCCAGAGACTCCACAGAGAATGAATACAGAGGACATTTTTCTCCCGAAAGGTTCACCTACCTCCACGGCTGACTTCTGTGCCTTTGCAAGAAGGCACTTCTGCCTACAGTGCCCTTTCTTCTCTTCCTGGCTGGAAATCTTCTGTGTCCTTTCAGGTTCAGTTCAGCGGTTCCCCTGTACTGGAAGCTTATCACATACAACACTATGTGTTAGCAGTGCTTCCCCCAACACCTGACACAAAGTGGACGCTTCAGAAAAGACATTAGCTGAGGGTAACAGAGGAGCAAAGAAGGTTGCAGGCTGCCCCAGCCAAAAGGGCGCATCAGGAGATGACATGGGGAAGAAGGGGGCATCTTGTTAGTAAGGGCAGAGGGTCCCAGAGAAAAGTGAACAGAAAGCCAATGTGGAAGCACGAAGGGCAAAAGGCAAGCAGTGAATGGAGACACAGGAATGTGAATAGGACGGGGCTGAGGAGAGAAGGGAATTGTGTGGGCAGCCGGTTGGTGACCTCTCACAGGCACGTTTCTTCCTGTCCCAAGAGGCCTGGCCAAGTGTACTTGACCTGGGCTTGCCAGGCACATCTCATGGGAGGAGGGGATCCCAGGAGCCTCCTCCCCACCTGGGAAGCCTTCCTGGAGCCCATGGTGACAGAAGAGGTCAAGGGGGGATAACACAGGGACACCATGATGGCTCTGTGGGCCCAGACACAGCCTGCCCACTCCACTTCCCAACAGGAAATAGTCCCTACTCCCCTCCCTTTGCTGGGAAGCTTGCTCCAGAAAGGAAGCTGACCCACTTGTCCTCAGGGACACCTCTATCATGAAGAGGGGCTCCTTTTTGGGCTCTTGAAGAAGACCAGGGGCAGCTACAAATCCAAGCAGAACCATACATATTACCTTCTTGGTCTCTTCCATTGCTCCCAGCCTCCACCCCAAGTTCCTCGAGCCCCCAGATCCAGCTATGTCTAGACTCCAACCATCTCCCAGGGAGATCTCAGGAACAGAAAGACTACACATTTACCCAGGTCAACTTAAAGTAGCCAGAAACAAAGGGCCCTCTCAGGAAGCAAGGGGTGCATTTTGCAAGTGGAGTCCCCAGTGATTTCTAATTGGTAGAATTTGGGGTATGGACTTCAGGGAACTTAGAGTGGAGAATTTCAGGATGAGAGAGGGTCAGACTTCAGCCAGCACCTTGCGTCTCCTGGCTGAAGAAGTTACCAAGCTGGTCCCCCAGGAAGTTTAGTAGGCCTGCCGGCTTTTCCCCCGGATTGAATCCCAGCTGTCCCTCCTTCCACTGGAGCAATGGTGAAGCTGGTCTGAGTCTTCTAATTCCATGCTCTCCCAACCCTGCTGCAGCCCAGGGGAGGAGCCCCAGTGGTGTGAGAGTTGGGCCACAGCCACTTCTTTCCCCTAACCCAGGTCTTCCGTGACCAAAGTGTCTGAATGTACCAGGATTCTCTCCTTCACATCCCTGCTCTTCAGAAGCCTGCCCTCCACCCCATCACACTGGAGCCAATGTGAATGTTGAATTGGACAAGCCACCAACTTATCAGAAGGGTGTTACAAATCCAAGGTAGTCTTCAAAACCATGGTCCAGAAATACACTGATGCTTCTGGGACACTGTAACATGTACCCACTCCAAAGCCACATGGGTATGCTTTCTGGCTTGTTTGGGGTCATGCTTTTTCAATCCTGAGCCATTTCATGCCTTTGTATAAGGAATGTTGAGTCTGTAGTAAGATGGCCCTGAAATTTGGTAGCAAGTCAAAGTTTGCTATGGAAGATGATGAGGGCATCAACCTGTGTATGTTTCAGAGTCTTTCCTCAATGGGTCACTCATGGGTCTGTACACGCAAGCCAGTGCAGCTTTGGGCCTTTGCTCAGGGTGGGACACTGAATGAGGGATCTGAGATTGGCAGCAGATTGGCAGCAGGGTCTTTTGCACTTGCTGGAGAGAGGACAAGAGGGACACCTGGATATTCTGATGGTTTTTTTAAAGAATTTATTTATTTATTTGACACAGAGAGAGAGAGCACAAGCAGGGGGAGCAGCAGGCAGGGGGGAGAGGGAGAAGCAGGCTCCCCACTGAGCAGGGAGCCCGACATGGGACTCAATTCCAGGATCCATGACCTGAGCCGAAGGCAGGCACCCCTGGATATTCTGATTTTTATTTCCATGAGAGCACCAGTAGAGTACAGGGCTGGGCCTCCAGTGAAGCTGCAGCAGTCCAGATACATCCACTTCATGAAGATTGGTGATATGAGGCCTTGGGGTAGTCCGGTTCTTCTCTTATATTCCCATGGACAGGCTTATAAGCTCCCCTTGGCAATTTGGCTTGTCAGAGCAAAAGATTACATTGACAATTGGTTTGTGTATTAGTGTTCTATTCCCTGGGCTGGGCAGCCCTCACAACCTGGGCATGTCTGGGGGACCGTGAGCGGCAGAGCAGTGGGTCAGCTCTGGGACTCCCTGGGACCTCACCAAAGTAGTGCCTGCCATCAAGACTCTGAACTCTGAGCAGCCTGCCTGGTCTCGGTTGGTGAAGTTTTTGAAAGGGCAACAGTACCTGTTGAAGTATCTTAACTGATAAACAATCTCAGTCTTAGTACCTGTTTATGGGGAGGTCACCAGTACTTAAGATGGTGCTGGCCAATGTGGCCACTGGCAAGTACCTCTTCTTCACAGAGTGCGGGCTGCAGTTTTAGCAGGACCCCTAGTTGCCTCTTTGCTCCTGTCCCTCTACTAGCTGGATAGCTCAGGGCACATCAGACAAGATTCTCTTTGTCTCAGCTTTCTCTTCTGTATTTAAATGTTCATTGGGAACCTCCTCAGGGGTAGTAGACACTGGACTCTGCCCAGAGGATGGGCAAGGGAACTGGACCAAAAACTCTGGGACTGGGTTCTGGTGCTTCAGTGGCTGACAAACCTGATTCAGGTTACTCATCCTTAAAAGCAGCTCCTATAATAATATCCATTCTCCAGTGGGTTTGGGAAGCCTAATTACCACTTGTGAAACGTTTTCAATTTCTCAGAAGAAAGGTGATACATCACGGCAAGGTATGACTATCATAATAATTGTGATCTTCTCAAGCTGCCCCCAGGGATAACTCATATAAAAACTGCCATCCATGAAACTCTGTTATTGTAACAAAGTACAACTATTATCCATAATGATACTAGACTAATGTCTAAGGTATTGCTGTGCTCATGGAAAACTCTTAAATAAGCCGGAAGTGAAGAAGGTAGACTAGGTCACCTGCTGTGAACTTATCCAGTTAATTCCAAAAGTAAATAGACTTTTAAGGAGGTAGGAACCGGAAAGAGCACCAGAGAGCAAGAGCGTTCTCTGAGCACTTGGTGTGGACCAGTGTTATGCACACTATCTTATCCAAGTTTAGGAAGTCGGTTTTATCATCTCCATTTTGCAGAGGAGAAAAATTGAGTCCAAAGATGTTGACTTGTCCAAGGGAGATGAACCTGGCAGTTATAAACAGGATGGTCTGGAGTGGAGGATGAGGCCAGGTGAGAAGTGACCCCAAAGTCTAGGCAGGGGCCAAGGAGTCTCTGAACTAGGTTAGCAAATGGGAGGATGACTACCAGATTTCCAGTTTGGCATGCGCCCGTAAACAGGTCTGCTGCCAACGGAGAGGGCCACCCAGGAGGGTAAGGCGGTTAGGAGGAAAGATGACTGTGGCGCAGGGTAACCTGAGTGTGGGACCGCCAGCATGTATCCATATGCTAGCCTGGGCCTTGGGAGGGAAATTGAGATGCAGACTTGGGAGTCACCGACAGGTCTAACAGGTGAAGCCTGGGATGAGAACGCCAAAATGCAACGAGTCACCGTGGCCACTATCCCCCTTCCCGCCCAGGCTCAGGGGAAACTTCCCGAAGGCAGCGCAGACTAAGGTGACAGGTGTCTGCGAAGACCTCCCCGTGGGATTCCTGGGTGGCGCGCTCCCTTCCCGCAGGCCTGCGCCGAGTCGGCTTCCCTGCTTGGCTCTCCGCCGCCTCCCCCAGGCTCCCCGTCTCTCCCAGCCTCCACGTACCCCCCGCCGTCCCCAGGGCCGCGGCCTCCGGGCGCCGCCAGCCAGGAAGGCGGTGTCGCACGCGGCTCGCGGCGCTTCCCGGGACGGCGGGGCGGGGCTGGGGCGCATGCGCCGCTGCCGTACGGAAGCCCGGAAGGAAGGGCGGGAGGCGGTGGCTCAGGTTTCTCCGGGCGGCGGCGGCGGCGGCGGTGGTGGCGGCGGCTGTGGCGGCGGTGGCGGCGGTGGCGGCGGTGGCGGCGGTGGCGGCGGCGGCGGTGGTGGGGACGCGGCTCGCGCCGGCACCATGAACCCGCTGTAACGCGCAGGCAGCGCGGCGCGGGGGGAGGGGGGAGGAGGAGGCCGCCGCGGCGAAGTTCTCCGCCATGAACCTGAGGGGCCTCTTCCAGGACTTCAACCCGAGGTGAGGCGCCGCCGGGGAAGGCGCGGCGGGCGTGAGGCTGCGGCGGGCGGCGGGGCAGCTCTCCGCGGTGCGAGCGGCTCGCTGGGCAGTGCTTCCCGCTCCCGCGCCCGGTGCCTTCAGCGCCCTCCCCCCGCCCGACGTCGGCCCCGCGGGAACCGCGTTCCTCTCGGCCAGCCCACCCTCGCTGCTGGCCCAGCGCCCCCTTCCCGTCCCCTCTTCCCGCACCCCGCTGCCAGTTCTCCGTTCCCCGCACCGGGGCCGTTTCGCTTGACCCAACCCCCCCCCCCCCCCCCCCAGCTGTTTCCTCCAGTTCCTCTGAGCCCTTGAGGTTTTCCTTGGATGTATGCCCACCCCTCGCTTGTTTGCTGCTTTGTCGAGTGATATCTGAAAGGACGTTGAATCCTCGGAGTCAGTGTCAGGCTATGGCAATACCTTACATAATGCCTCTGGGGATGAACCTGACGATTTTCCATACGCGGTTTCTCATCAGTCTTCACTGTAAGTTTATTTGCAGGAAGTAGATAGTATTGTTCTATTTCCCAGCTGGGGAATATCCAGTGGACAGTGCGGAGAGAACACTGATTAAGGAATGGAGCGTCTGTCCTTGCACTTGCCCAAGTGTTCTGTAACTCTCTTCCCTCCCCCAGGCTGTGTGCTCCCTGAAGCAGAGACTGTCTCCTGCACATCTCACTATCCCCAGCACCTCCCACGGCATTTGAAACAGAGCAGGCCCTTATAAAATGTTTGTGGAACTAAACTGAGCCAAAAGATCTGGATTGGGGACCAGGCCCCATGTGACTGAGTTACATATTCTCTGCTCATCTGAAAAATAAGGAGTTGGCTTAATTGATCTTCTAAGACCACTAGTTTGTGAAGGGAGTACCTGTTTCCCTTAGTTGCTGGTGGGAAGCTGTGCCCTCAGTCAGCCTTTTGTATGCTAGGTCCTAGGCGAGGTGCCTCAGATGCTGGGAGGTTCCAGCTTGTGGATGGAGAAAGACAAGTAAATAGATGATTTACAGCACTGTGCGGTGTTGTACTGTGGGAGCCCAGTGGAGACCACTGCCTGCGCTGCTTGTGGGGGATGAAGGGAAGTCTTGGGAGCGCAGTCTCCCTGGGGACAGTGCCATTTTAAGCTACAAGTCATTGTGGCTTCCTAGGTGCTCTATTCCTCTTTGAGCACTGCTGAGTTCATATTCTAGTCTGGAGTGCTAGTGTCCTAATCACAGTGCAGTCATTATCGTTGTTGGCCTTGAAGGCATTCTGCATCGAGGAGCATGTTGAGAGGAGGTAAGGGAGAAGGGACTGCAGCACCTTCCTCTGCTGCTCCTAGGGGTGAGGATTGATCTACAGGGTAGCAGGATTGGCGCTGGAGTTGGAAGGGCCTTGTGTGTCTACACTGGCAAGGGTAGTAAGGAAGGTAAGTAAAACCTGAATTGTTTTGTATCCTTGAGCCAGTCGCTTACCTGTTATATCTGTAGAATGAATATAATCTCAGCAGGATGGGAAGCCAAATTAATGATTGATTGCAAAGTGCTTTACACATAGATAGTTCCAGGACTATTTTGCAAGATGACAGATAATTCAGAACCCAAGAACTGCCTCAGGTGTTCTAACTGGCTAACAGTTGCCAAAGCACAATGGTGCTGCACAGAACATCCTTAACCATTTTCTTTTCCTGTAGCTTCTCCCCCACCCCCAAAACTTTGGAATATGAAAATTACAATGAAATATTAGCTATCTAAACAGATTTATAATAACCATCTATATATTTATCAATACTTTAATTCTACTGGGATTGAAATGCATCTCTAAGTTTAAAGACCTTTCTTAGGGCGCCAGTTTCCTGATACAGTGTTGCTTCAGTGGGAGTGAGCAGTGTTGCCTCACAGTGGTGACTGCTAAGACAGTGGTCAGGTAATATTGGCAAGTCTGATTTTTTAGCTAATGATGTGTCGTGTCTCATGGGCACACCCAGTTTTTGACATTGTTCGTTAGTCTTGTTCCATGCTGAGGAGGGCCTTCTAGACAGCTGGAGTGCAAACCAGGGGGTGTAGACAGGAAGATACCTGGGGCCAGGGCCTCTAACCTTGGTGCTGCTGCCTTTATCCCTGCCTCTAATTTGGAGCCAGTTCAACATCTCCCTCCTACCCCAGGACCTTGGCACATGCTGTTCTCGTTGTCAGGAATGTTTCCTTCTCCTCTCCTCCTGACCTAGTTAACTCTTATTTATCCGTGAGATCTCAGCTCACTTGTTACTTGCTGAGAGAAGCCTTTCTGACTTGCCTAAGTCCACTGATACCTGTTTATACAATATCTGTAGCATGCTGAATTCTTCCATTATAGCACTTATTTGTACCCTTATCTTTGTATGCTTATTTGATTAATGTCTGTCTCCCCTACTAAACTATAAGCTCCATGGGGCCAGGGCCATGATTCTGTCCATTATGGTATCCTGTATACCTGCAATAGTACCTGACTTATTAAATATTTGTGGAATGAATGGATGGATGAATGAATGAATGAATGACTCTCCAGAGCCTATAGGAGAAATCTAAAATGGCTTCTTCCAATCTCTGCTTTCCTGGTGGTGGTCTATGGCCTGGTCCCTTTTCTCATCTTCCCTCCTTCAGAATGCAGCCATTCCATTAGAGAGACAGGACAGACCATGACACTAAGGCAGAATGTGGCTGCCTTTACTTTGTGGATTATGTGTGTCACAAAAATAGTCACTATCATGGTTTTATGGTTCCCAAGGCATGGGCCATGGCTCCAGCTCTCCTTTTCAACCTTTTGATCTTGGTGAGTCTGAACCCACTGCTGTATTGCCCAGGCTCTGGAAAACTGCAGTAGCAGAGAATGATTCCCAAACGTCAGTGCTCAGGTGCACAGGGCTGCCGGCTGACCCTCTGCCTATTTCGCTCTGGCGGAGAACTGGTTGATCGTGAGCTTCTTTTTAGTTACACAGGTTAAGACTCGCTGAAACAGGCACACTGGACCCACCAAGTCCTTGTCTGAATGCCTGAGGCTTCCTCACATAACAGCGAGGGAGCCTTACTCATTGAACAGGCAACTACCAGCAATATACAGAATTGGCGGACTGATTCTGAGGTGCTTGTAGGAAGGTGGGGATTTGGGAGTAGGTGGCATTAAGCCAGCACCCTGGCCACACCATGGAGCCTTGGGATTTTCTGCTAACTTGCTGGAGTTGCTGGCTTGGAGAAGGCCCTTCAGCCCTGGTAGCCAGGCAGTGCTGGAAGGCGGTGAGAACTCTGCTAGGCTCTCTGAGTCATCTGCAGTGAGCTCCTGACAGTGAGGTGCATCCCACAGGTGTGCTGGACTGGGACTGAAGGCTGAGGGATGCTGCTCTGGATGTTCTGTCCTGTGAGCATGGAGTACTAAGGAGGTCAGTAGTGTTTAGAAAGTTCCATATGCTGCAACTTCTAAAACCATTCTATAAGTTGCCTCTTCTTTGAATTTAGGAAAAATAAATGCGATTTCTGGTAATCGTTAACAAAAGACAGCTGGCTGGCCTTTACCAGTCATTTGTAAAATATTTATATTTAAAGCATTCATTTGGGCACCTGGGTGGCTCAGTCATTAAGCGTCTGCCTTCAGCTCAAGTCATGATCCCAGGGTCCTGGGATCAAGTCCCACATCGGGCTCCCTGCTCAGCAGGAAGCCTGCTTCTCCCTCTCCCCCTCCCCCTGCTTGTGTTCCCTCTCTTGCTGTCTCTCTCTGTCAAATAAACAAAATCTTAAAAAAAAAAGCATTCATTCATCAAACATCTCCTGAGTTCCTACTGTGTGCCAAGAGATGTGCTAGGTGCTTTAAGTACAAAAATAAGTGAGATATAATTCCTCTCCATGCTCAAGCCTGGCAGGAGAAGCAGAAATGGGAAGACAAATTAGAATTCAACACAGGAAGAGACATTCCAGAGACAGGAACCAAATGCTGTGGGAGCACGAGGGGCAGAGCCTCCACTTCTGTCAGAGCAGTCAGGGAAGGTTCCACAGCTGTCTTGAGGGATATAATTGTAGGGTTTTTTTCAGCCCAGAGGGCAGGAAAGGCAAGTGAGGAGGGACAGAGGATGCAGAGGCACAGGGTTCATGAGAGGGCCTGGCATGCTCAGACAGTGGTGACAGGTCTGTGTGGTGGCAGTGCCGCAGGTGACACATGTCATATGATTTAAAAATAGTACCTGTAGTGTGAATGATTACTGCAAATATCATTTACATATTACTGAGTTTTTCTTAAAGCCACTCCAGATCCATTAGTAGTGAGCGCATGTTGGTACTGTTCATGAACTACTCACCCATCACCCACACGTCTGTTTATCTGTCGTTCTGTCATCTTAAGCCACCCAGAGCAAGAAAAACCTCTCAGTTATATTGAGGTTGTTATTAATAATGGGTATGACTTATGGGGCACCTAGCACGGGTTGGGCACAGTGTCGGTGCTTTCAGCGTTATCTCAGATCTTTGCAGCAACCCTGCAAGTTAGATGATCAGCCCTGTTTCGCAGTCTTAGCGAGCTTGTGACTTCCCTTGAGTCGCACAGGCAGCAAAGGCCCAGGTCAGGATTCTAAAGTGAGTCAGTCTGTTTCTTTCTGAAGCCTGCGCTCATTCCTGCGTGCCATGCTACCTCTCTAATTTAGTGACAGGCCCGCCCATGCCACATTGGGTCCAATATCCCAAGGAGCCTTCTGTTTATGAGTTGTGATTACACAAAGCAAACCTTATATCTGACCTTACACATCCAAATGAGTGTTATCCCTCAAAGAGGTTACTTAGGAAAAAGAGGAATATGTATATACCTATTCCACTGCTCATATTCCTTGTTACTCATCTGAAATTTCCTTTGGAGTCAGATTATAAATCATATAAGGAAATCCGTCTCATTGCTTTGTAATCATGGATCATTTTTGAACCCAAATAGTGCCACCTAGTTTGATCATACATCTTATTCACTAAACTTGGCTCTGACTGACTTTTGGCCATTTC